CAGGAGTTGGAGCTGTAGCTGGAGCTGATACCGGGAGGCGGGAGTTCCTTAGAGCAACTATGGAGGGCTCCGCCACATGCTGCTGCGTTGAGGGCTGGGAGAGGGATTATAGGCGGTATCGGTTTATAATACCAGGGTGGCAACGTGAGTAGAAAAATAAATATACCAATTTGCTATGCCCCCTCAACGGATCCGACCTTGACCTCCACATAAATATCTAATATATTCATTCTAATTAGCAGTACTACTCATTTAGTTGTTTATTTATATTTTTATTTATTTTTATTATGTTTAGTTTATTAGTTTTGTCTTTTTTTTTAATTTGTTGTTATAATTCGCAATTTATACTCATTTACCTCATCGATTATTTTATTTTTAAGTTTACTCTATATAATCACATTATTTAAATTCAATACATCAAAATTGAATAGGCTTACTACTGGGTAACCTTTTAGATCTAAGGTTTAATATTTCATATATCATCGAAATTACTGAATGTCTTCCATTTTGTAAAGACAGATTGTAATTCAATAAAAACAAAAAAATTTGCTATGCATGTTTATTATATTTTAATAATTTAATAAGAGTGATTACTGTTCTAATGGAAAGTGGCATTTTGCCTTACCGGACACAACTAGTGTAACCGCCAAAAAAAGGTGATTTTTGGGAATTTAAATTAAAAAAAATACTTTATCAATCATTTCAAAATTTTAAGAATATATTTACACATGTTTTAAGAATACATAGTAAAATTTTTGAAGAAAAAAATTAAATATTTTTTAAGTTATCGTCGATCTCCAAAGGCCCTTCACTACTGCAGTGATTCCAGCCTTCTACATAGATGAAATTAAAAAAAAAACTTGTTAAACTAGATAATATTGTCTGTAAAATGACCTACAATAAAGAAAAAAAAACAAAAATTGACAAAATGACGGCGTTTTTAGAAAAAAAGTCAAATTTTACCCAAAATTTTGATCGTTTTTGGACTGCCAAAATTCGATTTTTGATTCGATTAAAAAATCGATAATTCATTTTACGGAGAACTAAATATAGAACATGTAAAAAAAATTGATAGTGATCGAATCATTTGTTTTTGAGTAATCGCTGCAGCAAATTCGGAAAATGCTGTTTCGAGAAAAACGTGTTTAGAGATAAAATGATCGTTGTACTGTATACTATATGTATACTTTTTAAATGGCTGTAACTCAAAAACTATTTGAGATATCGTTTTGAAATTTTAATATGTTATTTTTAAAGGTGTAATATGGAAAATACCGAAATATGGAAAAATTGAAAATTCGATTTTTTGAAAATTTCACACGAGTTGTGACCCTTAAGGTTGCAAAAAAAATTCTCGATACCTGTAATAATCGATTTAATCAACCGAAATTTATATTCGGATATTTATACAAAATTTTCAACTGTTTATTTTGATACTGAGAATCTCGCTTTCAATTAAATCATAAAATTAAACATTGCTATTTCTTCTTTTTATTTTAGATATCGAAGCAGAATGTCAAGATGATTACATGAAAATTCGTGTAGGCTTCAATGGATCATTTACTGGACTTCTATACTCAGCCGGTAAGTAATTATTAAATTTTCAGGAAATTTTTAAACGTATTATTATTGTTATTGTTATTGTCATTATCTTATTATTTTTAATATTGTTATTTTGTTATATTCATTATTATCTTTCATAGTATTGTTTTTATTCCACTTTATTGTTTTTCTAGTATTATTTTATTATTCAGACATTTTATTTATTCTATTTATTAATTTTATCATTATTATTATTATTTGCTTTTATTTTATATTAGATCATCATACTACGGATATCATTTTAATGAAAATACTATTCTTTATTTTGTACTCTTTTTATTTAAATTTATATTATTATTTATTATTATTGCTGGATGTTAAATTATTAAAGAGTTGTAATAAATATTGTAATTAAATAAAAAGAAACAGGAAAAACGACATTTTAGCAATATTTTCATCAAATTCACCATTTTAATATACAGTATAGAAAGTTCCAGCAATTTGCCATACACCATTAGTTTGTTATCCACATTTTCTAATGTTTATTAACTTCCCGTAGGGCAAGTTATAGTAATCGCAAAATAATAAAAAATGAAAATTTTTATATATATTTACGTTTTAAAACCTTCAGAACATTTTGGCATACCTTAGAAAAAATGGATGTATGTGTGTGTGTGCGTGTATGTATGTATGTGCGGATACAATTTTTCGTCAACGTTTTCGGGCGCCGGATCAACCGATTTGAATGGTTCAAAAAACATTCGATTCCTATTGATAGGAAGATGCGCGATTTTTGATTTTTGGCAATGGCAGGTCCAGCTGTTCCGAAGATATGGGGCAAAAAGTGGCAAAAACGGTAACTCAGGTTTTAAGAGAACGGAGCGTCCGATTTGAGTAATTTAAAAAACGTTTTACTTGTATCAACAAGATGAACAACTTATTTTTCATGAAGGCAGATCTAGTGGTTTCGGAGATCTAATGAAAAAAGTAAAAAAAATGCCATTCGGCAGTTAAAAATGATCATTAGACATACAAGGTCTGTTCAAAAAGTACCCGGAATTTTCGTTTTTTCAAAAAAATATTTATTTATTCGTCTACATTAATGTGGTCCCCTTCAAAGTAGTCCCCCCCAGATATATACACTTATGCCAGCGTTTTTTCCAATTTTCGAAGCACCCTTGATATTCACTTTTTGATATGTCCTTGAGCACTCTCAGCGATTTTCTTCATCGAGGAAACCGCCGTCCTTTCATGGGTCTCTTCAACTTTGGGAATAGGAAAAAGTCACACGGAGCCATATCTGGTGAATTTTTGCACTTTGCAACACTTTATTTCATTTTTTTTACGCAAATTTAATACAATTCTTTGACTTTTCAATTCTTCCATTGTAAAATCGCCGAGCTCAGAAAAACACGTCGGAACCTTAGCGACTACCACAGACAAAGTAAACAGTGAATATAGCTGAAAATTTCATCATACTTTAGGGGCATGTACCAACACAATAAAAAAAAATTTTGACAATCAGACACTCCAGACCCGCGAAATTTATTATTAGTAATTCCGGGTACTTTTTGAACACACGTAGCACATCAAATTATCAGATATTTCATAGAGATTTTAACAATGAGTATAAATTTTGTTTACATTCCTATGGGTTCCGTAAGAATGTTTATTCGTTAGAGGGCGACGCGGCGCTTACGCGCTTTGACATTTTGCCTCTATGCAGTTAAAGCAGTACGATTGCTTTGAAAAAAGGTTCTGAATTTCCAAAATATGTCAAAATAAATTTATCTTCAAAAAGTCTTTTTTCAAAAAAAGTGAATTTTTGTCAAAAATTTATTGTTTCTCAAAAATCTAATTTTTTCATAGTAATTTTTATTCAAAAATGTTAATCGTTTTTAAAAAAATAATAATTTTTGATCCGGAAGTTCCAGCAATTTGCCTTAAGACTAGTTTAGATATTGCTTTAGAATCCAGGCTTTTATAAATACTATTCCTTATTTATGTAGAAAATATTTCACATGATCAGTTTTTTTTAATAAATTCCATTCTGATAATAATTTTTCTTCTTATCATATAAGTCATCAATTCTGTCAATATTGAAATGCATTAACTAGTGCATACAATATTTCTATTATTTTTCCTGTCTGGTACATCGTCTATGCATTTATGCATGTATGTTTATATAAACTAATGCATCCAAGTATGTATGTATGTTAATGTTTCTATTTCCATAATTGTAATATTTCTTTTTTTCATAAAGTGTGCTAGATTTGGAGCTGGTACAAGTTTTCTCGTTTTGTTGTAATATTATTGAAGAAATCAAATAACAAATGTGAAACTTTTGTACTGAAGAAACGTGAATATGAAGAAACGTCTTAGCTGATTAAAAAATAAACAAAATAAGTCTTGAATGTGTTGCGTATTTGTTCAGTCTTTAAAGACTTTGTGAAGTTTCTGAAGGTTTTTTATAGGCTTTGTCCGGTTTTTTGAGGCTTTGTCCGGTTTCCAAAGGCTTTGTCTCGAAGTTTTTGTCCGATTTCTGAAGACTTTGTCCGGTTTTCGGAGGCTTTGTTTGGTTTCCGAAGGCTTTGTCCGGTTTCCTAAAGTTTTGTCAGGTTTTCAAAGGTCTTGTCCGAATTCTGAAGCTATTATCCAGTTTTCGAAGGCTTTGTCCCGTTTCCAAAGGTTTTGTCTGGTTTCCGAAAGCTTTGTCCGGTTTCAAAAGACTTTGTCCGGTTTCCAAAGGATTTTTCCGGTTTTCCAGAGCTTTGCCCGGTTTTCGAAGGCTTTGTCCGGCTTCTCAAGACATTGTCCAAAGGTCCATTGTTTCCAAAGGTTTTGTCCATAGGCTTTTTTCGGTTTCCAGAGATTTTGTTTGGTTTCCTAATGGTTTGTCCGATTTCCGAAGGCCTTGTGCGGTTTCCAAAGGCTTTGTCCGGTTTCCGAAGGGTTTGTCCGGTGTCTAAAGACTTTGTCCGGTTTCCGAAGGCTTTGTCCGGTTTCTGAATTCTTTGTTCGGTTTCTAAAGACATTGTCTGGTTTCTGAAGGCTTTGTCCGGTTTTCGAAGGCTTTGTCCGATTTCTGAAGGCTTTTTGTTCGATTTCCGAAGGCTTTGTCCGGTTTTCGAAGGCTTTGTCCGATTTCTGAAGGCTTTTTGTTCGATTTTCAAAGGCTTTGTCCGGTTTTCGAAGACTTTGTCCGGTTTCTAGAGGCTTTATCCGGTTTCTAAGACATTGTCCAGTTTTTGAAGGCTTCTTCCGGTTTTTCTGAGGAAATTGTCTAATTTTCGAAGACTTTGTCCGGTTTTCGGAGGCTTTGTCCGGTTTCCGAAGGCTTCGTTCGATTTTCAAAGGCTTTGTCCGGTTTCCCGAAGGCTTCGTCCGGTTTCTGAAGACTTTCTCTCGATTCTGAAGGCTTTGTCAGATTTCCAGAGGCTTTGTTCTAAAGAATTTTCCAGGGTCATGGAGACTTTTCTCGGTTTTCAAAGGCTTTTCCGATTTCTGAAAACCTTCAAATAATCGCAGCAAATCTACATCTAGCTAATCTGTTCACAGAAAATAGTTAGAGACAGCATAGAACAAATAGCACCAACCCTAAGTCCATATAACATATTTCATAGAAAATTGCTTTATTCGGCTGCTACAAAACCATTATTCCAGAAAAACATCCAATTCTGCCTCAGGAAAATTGAGAGTAATAAAAAGTCGCACCAACTCTGTCCATAAAAAATTGCTATATTCGGCTGCTACAAAACCATTATTCCAAAAAATATCCAATTCTGCCTCACATTTGTCAGAAAAATTGAGAGTAATAAAAAGTAGCACCAACTCTGTGTCTATTATCCTCGTCGTCGTCGTTGCATTCGCTTACTTAACTCTTGTCGCAGAATTATTCTCATATGATTGTGTTATATTCGTAACATTACATGTCTTGTATTGTTCCACTTGTTAACAAAGTTGTTATCAAGTGAAGACGACAGTCGACTTGATTTGATTCTCTTTCCAGGTTCTGTCCTGATGACCAACCGTGCCAAAACAATTGCTGTTCGACATTCTCATAATCAGTCTCACTGGTTCACATTTCAATTCAACAAATAAAAATAATAGATAGATATCATATCATATGGAGTACTGTATAATATAGAAATTATCCTCGATGGTTGTCATGGAAATTTAGCGAGAGATTACAACAAGCATGATTACTCATAAATAATATTATACTGCTTGATATCGATCTGGCCGAAGTATTGATCGAATTTGGGACTACACTATGGATTAGGTTTATATTAGGTTGTCAAATATCTTCCTTCCGCTTTTTTGCTCTTGGTTTAATACAAAAAGGCGGAAGGGAGATATTTGACAACCTATTATTTGCGATCTTAGCGTTTTTTTACTATAAAACATAGGAGTATTAAAATAAATCTTTCTTAAGGTTATTTCTAGAAATTTGCTGCACATTTACAGGTTTTTGTCCAGACGTCCAAGGCCTCCTGGATGATAAATAAATTTAGCAAACAAGATAGAAACTAGCTGTAAGTGGAATTCTGTCTTAAGGCAATTAGGGTATCGTGCCTTAAGGCAAATTGCTGGAACTTCCCGTACCGCAACTCAAAATTCGAGTAATTAAAAATAAAAATCAATAAAAGTTGATCAATGATTTGAAACTTAATAGAATTTCGAACCATATTAAATCATTCTATCTTAAATCATTTATTTTGAAATATTTTGGAAATTATGAACTTTTTTTCAAAGCAATCGTACTGCTTTAACCGCATCAAGACGAAATATCGAAGCGCGTAAGCGCCGCGTCGCCGTCTAACGAATAAACATTGTAACGGAATTCATAGGAATGTAAACAAAATTAATACTTATTGTTAAAATCTCTATAAAATATCTGATAATTTGATGTGCATATGTCTAATGATCATATTTGACCGCCAAATGGCTCATTTTTTTACTTTTTCCTCCATATCTCCAAAGTCGTTGGACCTGCCTTTCCAAAAATTTGAACAGTTCTTCATTTAGTCAATACAAATAAAATGTTTTTTGAATTATTCAAATCTTAAAAACTGAGTTACCGTTTTCAGCACTTTTTGCCCCGTATCTTCGGAACAGCTAGACCTGCTTCGCCAAAAACTAATCAGCACCTGTCCTTATCAATACGAATCGAATGTTTTTTTGGATTATTCAAATCGGTTGATCCGTGTTCCCGAAATCGTCGACTATTTGTATCCGAACATACATACATACACGCACACATACACATACATACATCCATTTCTTCTAAGGAATGCCAAAATGTTCAGAAGGTTTTGAAACGTAAAGATATATAAAAATTTTCATTTTCGATTTTTTTGCTATTACTATAACTTGCATACGTAAAGTTAATAAAAAAAAATTAGTTCAGACATTTGAATTTAAAATTTCCAGTAATTTACTGTACAAATAACAGTAAATCTTTACCTTGAGTTATTTTTAATAATAAATCTTAAGTAATTTATAATTTCATTTTAGTGAACGTTTATTTTAAATGAAACCATTTTTACAAAAAAGGTTTTCGACAAACCTAGAAATAATCAAGAAAAAAATTACTTTTTTTAATAAAAACGTTTTTTGGTTCAAAAACAAAATGATAAAAATGTAAGAACTAAAAGCGTAATAAGGGTAAATAAATCATAGGGTTTCAGTATGTAGCATTATTTTTATTTCTTCAACAAAATATTATCTAAAAAAGATTTTATTCTTGATTTTTAACTTTCATAATGATATTAAAATCAAAAAATTGTACAATGATTCAGTTTATAAAGTCGATTGCTATGATTGTAACGTTTCTTATATCAGCAAAAGTTGAGATTTCGAAAAGAAATCAATTAATATGTTTATAATTCTCGATTTATGTTATTAATACATATGATTAATTTATTAATCAAATATATAATTTAACTAGTTGGTTTGGTATTTAGCCTTGAGGCAAGTTACATGAACTTCCCGAAATGTGTAAATAATCGACTTAATCAAAAAAATGTGTAAATAATATACTTCATTAATCCTACTTTAAAAAAAACGATAATAATTTTAGCAAACTTTGACGAATTTTTAAAATTAAACTACTTGTCGTTAGGCCGTAATATTACAGTAAGTTCTATAAGACCATGATGTATATCGCCAAAAAAATTTCCATGAAAATCGGCTTAAATTTTTTTTTCAACAGTTAATTACAAGAAAACGGCTCGGTAGATTTTCACCTAAAATTAATCAGTACCATTCCCAAGTAATATCTTTCGAACAGTTTTTGATATTTTTAAATCGGTTCGGTAGGGTGAGCTTAAATGTCGACGAAAATTTAACACTTTTTTTCAACAGTTAATTACAAGAAAACGGCTCGGTAGATTTTCACCTAAAATTATTCAGTATCATTCCCAACTAATATCTTTCGAACAGTTTTTGATATTTTAAAATCGGTTCGGTAGGATGAGCTTAAATGTCGACGAAAATTAACACTTTTTTTCAACAGTTAATTACAAGAAAACGGCTCGGTAGATTTTCACCTAAAATTAATCAGCATCATTCCCAACTAATATCTTTCGAACAGTTTTTGATTTTTTAAAATCGGTTCGGTAGGATGGCGTAAATGTGGACGAAAATTTAACACTTTTTTTCAACAGTTAATTACAAGAAAACGGCTCGGTAGATTTTCACCTAAAACTAATCAGCATCATTCCCAACTAATATCTTTCGAACAGTTTTTGATTTTTTAAAATCGGTTCGGTAGGATGGGCGTAAATGTGGACGAAAATTTAACACTTTTTTTCAACAGTTAATTACAAGAAACGGCTCGGTAGATTTTCACCTAAAATTAATCAGCATCATTCCCAACTAATATCTTTCGAACAGTTTTTGATTTTTTAAAATCGGTTCGGTAGGATGGGCGTAAATGTGGACGAAAAGTTCAACACTTTTTTTCAAATTACAAAGAAACGGTTTGGTCGATCGTCGCACAAAACTGAGAAACGATAGCCCTCACCGAAATACATCAAATGCTTTTTAATATCTGAAATCGGTTCAGGCGTTTTTGAGAAAACGTCGATCAAAATTCTAATTTTGACAAATGCCAAAAAGACCATACTGATTTTTGCAAACTTTGACGAATTTTTAAAGCTGAACCAGTTGTCGTAGAGCCGTAATATTTTAGTATGACCTAGAAGACTGTGGTATCTACCGTCAAAAAATAATCATAAAAATCGTCGAAATTTTTTTTAAAAACTTTATTACAAGAAAACGGCCCGGCCGATCTTTACCAAAAACTAATCAGCACGATTCCCAACAATATCTTTCGAACGGTTTTTGAATTTTCGAAATCAATTCAGAATTCCGGGCTAAAACGTGGACGAAAAATTTTTCACTTTTCTGCAATTTACAAAGAAACGGCCCGGCCGATCGCCGCACAAAACTCAGAGACGATAGTCCTCATCGAGATACATCAAATGGCTTTTAAATTTTTGAAATCGGTCTAACCGTTTTGGAGAAAACGTCGATTTACGGCAAAAATCTGTTCACACACACACCACACACTACACACACACCCACACACACACACATACTTTTTCCAAATTTGGTCTCATTCGATTCAGAATGGCTTGAAACGTCGAGAAAACATAAAATTAGCGATTCGGATTTTTTGATGAAAACATAAACTTCTCCTTCGGGAAGTTAATAAATATAAATGTATTTTTCAGGTTATGCCTATGATCCTGATTGTATGTACATAAATGGAACAGGAAGAGATTACTACGAATTTTATATCCAACTAAATCGATGTGGAACTTTGGGCAAAAATACACATCATGAAGACAATAGGAAAAATCCTACGGTAAAAAATAAATTAATATAAATTTATACACATATACATATATATGTTTAATGATAATTATTTGATAACTAAAGCATTATATATTAGAATTATTTATATAATTAAAATTGTTTAATTACACAAAGCGATAGGCCAAGTTGTATGGAAGCCAAGTGATTTTTAATTTTAATTCAATATAAATTTGAATGTTTTTATATTAAATTTTGATTATCATTGTCATTTTAATAATAATAATTATTATTAGTGTTTTGTCAGTGTTAAAAAAAATTATTTACTAAGGCTTGCTTGTGAATAAATAAATATTATTTTAACAAAAATATTTCTATAAATATTGTTACCAAATTCAAGGTAATTAAACTGATTAAAAATAATTTGATTTCTAAGCTCGAATAATTGTACTGCAATTTTTTGCATGTCTTTTATTATGTTTTATTATTATTGATTTGAATTAGTGTGATTTTTTTGTGTGTTATTATTATTGTCATTTAAAAATCATTATTAAAAAAAATATTATTGACTAAGGCTTGCCGATGGATAAATTAATATTATTTTAACGATCATATTTTCAGAAGTATTGTTACCAAATTCAAGACAAATCAACTCGTTTATTACAAATTAGTTAATGTTAATTAATGTTCGCATTTTCGTATTTCTTTATATTATTATTAATATACATTATGTTTCATTATTATATAATTTGAATGAGTGTGAATTTTTTTTATATGTGTGTTATTTTTTTTTTTAGAAAAATTTCATGTGGAACACAGTGACTGTCCAGTATAATCCTTTAATCGAGGAAGAATTTGATGAGCATTTTAAAGTAACTTGCGAATATGGTTATGACTTTTGGAAAACTGTTACTTTTCCCTTTTTAGACGTAGAGTAAGTAAAAATAATATACTAAATTATAATTTACATATTTATAAAAAAACTACTAAAATGAGGAATATGTAGAACAAAGTTTTTTCCTTAGACTTCATATTAAAATGATTATTAATTATTTTTAAATACGAAATCTCTAAAACAAATATTAACGGGTCAATTCTGCCATAACAAAGCTCTTAGCACATCGTCGTCATGGCAACGGTACCTTATGCTTGTTTAAACTTATATTTGTGTACTATTATATACACAAATACTATTAATTATTCTTGTATTATATTATATTTACAAACACTGTTATATACTCTCGTACTATTATATATACGAATACTATTATTTATTCGAGTACTATTATATTTACAAACACTTTATATACTCTCGTACTATTATATACACAAATACTACTACTCATTCTCGAATTTTATCATATTTACGAACACTGTTATATACTCTCGTACTATTATTACGTTTTTACTATTATTACTATAGAATGAGTATCTGTGTACATAATAGTACGAGAGTATATAACAATGTTTGTAAATATAATAAAATACGTGAATGAGTTATAGTATTCGTGTATATAATAGTACGAGAGTATATAACAATGTTTGTAAATATAATAAAATAAGTGAATGAGTTATAGTATTCGTGTATATAATAGTACGAGAGTATACAACAATGTTTGTAAATATAATAAAATACGTGAATGAGTTATAGTATTCGTGTATATAATAGTACGAGAGTATATAACAATGTTTGTAAATATAATAAAATACGTGAATGAGTTATAGTATTCGTGTATATAATAGTACGAGAGTATATAACAATGTTTGTAAATATAATAAAATACGTGAATGAGTTATAGTATTCGTGTATATAATAGTACGAGAGTATACAACAATGTTTGTAAATATAATAAAATACGTGAATGAGTTATAGTATTCGTGTATATAATAGTACGAGAGTATACAACAATGTTTGTAAATATAATAAAATACGTGAATGAGTTATAGTATTCGTGTATATAATAGTACGAGAGTATATAACAATGTTTGTAAATATAATAAAATACGTGAATGAGTTATAGTATTCGTGTATATAATAGTACGAGAGTATATAACAGTATTTGTAAATATAATAATACTCGAATAAATAGTATAGACATTTTTACGGTTTTCACTACCAATAAACAAGCATAAGATCTGTTTATTGAGCTCTGTTATGGCAGAATTGCCTCATAAATTCAATAGATCTATTAGTTAGAAGTAAAATGTATTAAAAATTATTTAATATAAATATAATAGTATATTTTAAAAACACAAGTAGTAACTAAAAATAGTTGGAAATATAATTTTAATATGAATTTCAAATATTTAAATTTTAATAAAAAAAATCTATTTTAATTCATATATTTATTCTTAGAATCATCATATTATTTGTATATTAATATTCCTAATATAAATTTAATATCTAATTATTATTAAATTAATTATTAAAATATAAAATTTTTGGATTTATTAGTTTTTTTTTGTATAATAATTTTTATCTATTTTTTTATTTTTTAGGGTAGCTACTGGAAATCCAGTAGTTTTCACTTTATCACCTCCAGAATGTTATATGGAAATTAGGAGCGGTTATGGAACTACAGGGGCTCGTGTTGCAGGGCCGGTTAGGGTCGGGGACCCCTTAACTTTAATTATTTATATGAGAAGCAAATATGGTAAGCCAGAAAACAAATAAAAAAAATAAGTTGAAATATATATCTAGGTTTATGACCAAAGAAATCTTTTGTAAATTGGGCAACATTCAATACTTACAATTTTGCGATTTTGAACAAATTTATTTTACAGTTTAAGTAACTTAAAACTTACAACTTTTTTCTTATAAATTTTTGAACAAATGATAATTTCCATATTAATTATATGCTAAAAAAATATTTAAAGCCAAATGTTTAGAATAAAATTTTATTATTTTAGATGGTTTTGATTTGGTCGTCAACGATTGCTACGCCCATAATGGAGCTAATAAAAGAATTCAAATGATAGACGAACATGGGTAAGTTAATAATATTTTTATAAAAAATACTAAAAATTGTTTTATTATTTTTTACAAATACATTCATATTATATTTAATTTTTAGTTGTCCAGTAGACGACAAACTTATATCAAGGTTTAGAGGCTCTTGGTCTGATAGTGGTGTGTTTGAAACACAGGTAAGTAATTAATTACTAAAAATATTTGTCAATGATTATTAGAAATCTAATTTCTAAATTTGATTTTTAATCATTTTTATTTTCCAGGTCTTTGCTTATATGAAAACCTTCAGATTTACCGGTTCTCCAGCTCTTTATATAGAATGCGATGTTAGAATGTGCCATGGTCGATGTCCGGTATGAAAAATTGATTTTTTAAATTGTTAAGAATTTGAGTAATTTTAATATTTATGATTTTGATTTCATTATTGGTATGTATTCCTTAATTGAAATTAATTATAAACATAATTGAAAGCGTAAAAATGTACAGAGGGGAAGAAATAGTTTTCAATTTCCAGAAACATCAATAATTGTCATAGTGTTTTGTTATCTTTCTGTCACAATTAATAAAAGTTTTTAAAATTTTAATAATTCAAATATAAAGCAGGAGTTTTAATGTTGCCTATAACCTAAGTTGAATATAAATGCAAACCAGGGGTAATAAAATTTAAAAATCGGTTATCTAGTTTAGGATTCGGTTTCGGTTTAGGAGGTTATTCCGGTCATAATACTTATACATATATACTAGCTGACCCGGCAAACGTTGTTTTGCCTGAGTGAAGTATATTCTAAACAATTTGTAGAGAATCAAAAATATTAATACGTTTAGTGTATAAGGATGTTGTTTTTGATTGCTATATACAATGAGGTATTATAAAAAACAATAAACCCCATTAGTTTGTCTATATTTTGTCAATACAATCAACCTAGAAGTTTTATACACTTTCTATAGAAAACGTGGTATAATCCATTCCAAGTCTTTTTTGGTCTTTCGACTATTGATTACGCTTCAAGTTTTTCAGATTCTTTTTGGATTCTGGATTTTGTGTATAATGTAAATAATACTATTGAGCCTATAAAAAAATTCAAATTTCTGCGAGGAGAGATAGAAAATGAATTAAGTACTTCTTTTGACCTGCTTTTTAAAAAGTTTCAAGTAACATTCGATGAATTAAAATAAATTCAATAAAAAAAATATATGTAGGGCAGGGTGAAGCACAGAGGTCCAATTTGACTTTGAGCCAATATTAATTATATTGTAAAAACCAAACAATTATATCACAACAAATAACACATTTTAAAACGAACAATTATCTGACTACGTTCAGTAAAACTGTCAGCTACTTCAAAATTGTAGAAATGTGCTTTTATGATGTCTTTCCAAAATTTGTTATATAGACCTTTAACTCTATAGGCGGAGTAACTTGGGATCGGCCAAGTGGTAAACAGGTTAACGTCTTATTTTAATTTTAAGGTATTTTACATAATAATACATTTTTAAACTAATACTAAAAAACTACCAACGGAAGAAAATACGTTTATTATGGATTTTCTAAGATTATCGTTTATCTCTCGATAGCAAAGTCGTGAGAATCAAGGTTATAGCTGGTCATACATCATTTTCCCTCTACTTTCAAATATTGTTGCTAAACAATGCTTAACTTTATGTTTTTTGACACATCGGTGGTGGACCATTTTAACCCGGACCTTGATATATTACTATCTATTCTTCGATAAATTCTGGGAAATTATAACTGGGAAAATGTTATTCGACAAAATGTTATTATGACAATCTTCTTTTATCGATACCAAATTTAGGTTCTGAATTTAAGTAACATAAATAAAAAATAATATACCTAGAAAATGTTGTATAAATACCAATGAGTGTATAATTATAAAATGAAATCTTTCAGAGTACCGTGTTTGAGAAAAATATTATTTGCAAAAAAAGAGTGCCAAAAAATGCATTTTCATATTAACATTTCAAAAAACTTGATATTGTTGAGTTTGTAGTAAAACTTGCAGCCCTATTACATGATTTTACTGAATTGCAAATTTATAGCTGTTTTTGTAAGAAATATGTGAGATTTTATATCTATAATTTGGTACACATATTAAGAAATAATATACTAAAATTTTGTACCTCTAGTATAACGTTTTATATTTTTAAATATTTTTCAAAATACTCATCAAACCGTGGACTTGCAACTATTCCAAGAGTGCATTTGTTTACAAAATTGCACATTTATAGCTTATTTTGTTAGACGATCATATGATTTTATATTTTTATAATTGAGTACATATATTAGGTAATAACATACTAAAATTTCATAGCTCTAGTATAATATTGTATATTTTTAAAACATTTTTCAAAAGTACTTCTCATATCATATCCAACCGTCGATTCGCAACTAATAAAAAAGAATATGCAAGTGTGCATTGCAATTTTTTAGTTTTTTCTGTTAGAAACATTTGATTTCATATTTTTATAATTTAGTACGAATATTAAGAAATAACATACTATAATTTCATAACTGTATACAACGCTTTATATTTTAAAAATATTTTAAGCCGTCAATTTGTTTACATCAAAACGTTTTTTTTTGTATATAAATAAAACTACTAACAAAATTACTTACTACAATTTAATCATAATTAAATAATATTCACGTAAAACATCCTGTTAAACGTAATGAACCATCATCTGTCAAAAACGTTTGACATTTGACGTATTAGCCACCGTCCATTGTTTTATTCAAATTACGCTTCTACAAAAATTTAAAATTAAAAATGTAAAGTTTCTACGCGATTTTGAAATAATATCTCACCTTTCCCACAACTTACTGATTAGCACGAATTTTTCAAGACTAAGACTGGCCAAATCGGTTTAGCCGTTTTAGCGGATCATTTTATCGAGAGCTCCATTTTTATATATAAGATATATATCTTGATAGTTTTTTCGACGTTGAAACATTGTTGAAGATATATATATATATATATATATATATATATATATATATATATATATATATAATATATATATTAAAAAAGAGTGCGCGTAAGGATCACACGCGATTGAAGTAAAACTTTAATATTGTTGAGTAGGCAATTAAGATAAAATAAAAAAAACATCATATTTGAATTTTAAAAATCATCTTTTAATAATAATAAGATCTCCTGAGCATCGGCACAGCTGTCCTACTGATAATAAGAGTTTGAATATGATGTAAAGCTTTCTTCTAATTTTGTTACCTATCTTACCAGGAAATCAAAACATAAACGTAGAAGTTCATCATTATCGCCACGTTCCATGTACACTAATTTTCCTACACAACCATTAGCTAAGCCATCACTCACATCAATATTAGTTGTTATTATGTAAAATTTATTCAGAACTAAAATTATTTCATACGGCAAAGCCCCGGTATCAAAAAACCGATTTTTGTGAAACTGCTGACGAATGTATGATTGTTGATATGTCGCATGGCAACCTACATAAATATCCGTGGCAGTAGATATATTTTGTCTTCACCGAGATTCAATATAAATTTATTATATTCCATGACACAAGAAAAGTCTTATTCCATGAGGACATAATACAGCAACCTCTTCTTTGTAAAAAAAACGTGATTCAATTAATGCAAGTTCATATAGGGTTTAGGGTTTAGCGCTCGACTTACGCATGACATGACGGGAGTGGATACTCGCGACATCAGCGCTTACGGCGTCGTAGTGTTCAACTACACGTTGGCGTTTTCGTTGCATTTGTACGGATTTACACCCGTGTCGCGCCTAATGAATTTTTACACCATATCGCGCCTAAAGAAGTTTTACTTCAATAAATATTTCACTGACCTCTATTCCTTAGACTCAGCCCTGTCACTGGAGAAACACCAAAATTCTGCAAAAACGTTCCCTCATCGGTTCCACGACCTCCATACCACCAACTTCTGATCAAGGACAATCACCATTATCAGATGGTAATGGTGGTGATGGCACCAGCAAGGACAATAGTAATAAATTATCAGAAAACATCAGCCTTTTCCAAGCACTTCGAGTCCTGCAAGAAGGCGAAGGAGAAACTGATGATGACCAGAGCACTAGAGACGGTGGGTAAAAGATACAATCTGCACAAAAAAAAACAAATTAGTTAAATACCATTAATATAAAATATAGATGGGTAACTCACTCCGGAGTTATCACTCAGATACAACTCCTCTCTCGGAGTGGATCCGAGTGGAGTTGTTTCACAGGATTTGTCATATCCGACTTCCCTAAACTGGTACTAAATATGTTACTGCGTTTTTGCTTTGGGAAGGAAGCTGTCGCTTTCTCGTCTGACAGACAGTTTTATGACCTTTTAAGTATACGTTTTTTTTCAGAAAATACAAGAATATTACTTCGAAGATACAGAACAATGAAATTGTGTTCAAGTGTGAATAGCTCCAATGTATAATTTATTGAATAGTAAGGGGTCATATTTCTACTACGACAATCTTTGGCCGTAAATCAGGAATATACAATACGCGAAACAAAATACATTTGATCTGATTTTTCCATAGCCTGAAATAACTTTAGAGTGTATAATATATCAGTGACGTCAAATGTATTTAAGCAACAAAAAATATTTAGTATTATATTATTACTTTTACACGATTATATAATTGTGTAAAAGTAATAATATGCTAATCGAACTACCCGATATAATATTAATTCTCGAATGGAAATAGCAAAAGAAAAAATTAGAATGCAGAAGAATTATTATTTGGTGAAAATATTTTATGATAAATGTTTTGCTTTTTTAACAAAGTTTACTACATTATTTTTATATAAAATTAATCCAAACTAATTGGTATTGGTATTTAGCCTTGAGGCAAGTTACATGAACTTCCCGATATGTGTAAATAATCTATTTAATCAACAATAAACAAATTAATTTATGAGTGATTAAAAGTATTTCGAGTGGATTTATTACACATTATTGAAAACGAACGAACACTCTATACCAAGTAAATCATCTAATTTTCATTTTAACAAACGTCAAAAAAACTACTCATTTTCTCAAATTTTGATGAATTTTTAAAATTAAACTACTTGTCGTCAGGCCGTAATATTACAGTAAGTTCTATAAGACCATGATATATATCGCTAACAAAAATTCCATAAAAATCGGCTTAAATTTTTTTTTCAACAGTTAATTACAAGAAAACGGCTCGGTAGATTTTCACCTAAAACTAATCAGTATCATTCCCAACTAATATCTATCGAACAGTTTTTGATTTTTTGAAATCGATTCGGTAGTTTGAGCTTAAATGTGGACGAAAAGTTTAACACTTTTTTTCAAATTACGAAGAAACGGTTTGGCAGATCGTCTCACATAACTGACAAACGATAGTCCTTATTGAGATACATCAAATGGCTTTTAAATTTCTGAAATCGGTTCAGGCGTTTTTGAGAAAACGTCGATCAAAGGTCTAATTTTGACAAATGCCAAAAAGACCATACTGATTTTTGCAAACTTTGACGAATTTTTAAAGCTAAACGAGTTGTCGTAGGGCCGTAATATTTTAGTAAGTAAAAGACTATGGTATCTATCGTCAAAAAAATTATAATAAAAATCGCCGAAATTTTTTTTTTAAACTTTATTACAAGGAAACGGCCCGGCCGATCTTTACCAAAAACTAATCAGCACGATTCCCAACCAATATCTTTCGAACGGTTTTTGAATTTTCAAAATCGATTAAGAATTGCGGGCTAAAACGTGGACGAAAAAATTTTCACTTTTCTGCTATTTACAAAGAAACGTCTCGGGCGATCGTCACACAAAACTGACAAACGCTAGTCCTCACCGATATACATCGAATGGCTTTTAAATTTTTGAAATCGGTCCAACCGTTTTCGAGAAAACGTCGATTTACGGTAAAAAAAATCTGTTCACATACACACATACACACATACATACTTTTTCCAAATGTTGGTCTCATTCGATTCAGAATGGCTTGAAACGTCGAGAAAACATAACATTAGCGAATCGGATTTTTTTATGAAAACATAAACTTCTTCTTCGGGAAGTTAATAAAATAACAAAATTTATTTACCTCTATTTCTATCACCAGGGTCGAATTCTTCGACTCCAGCCCCCAACCAGACATGTGTAAGGACGTCGGTCCTGAGTGCAGCCCTGGCGTCCCTCTGTGCCTGCTTCGGAGCAGTGACGGCCTGCCTCCTGGTGGCCTGCGCCAAATTGAGGAGCAAATCAGGAGCTGGTGGAGGAGGAACGGGAAAACGGTACGGAGGCGAGAGCGGAGGCAACGGGTACATGAATCATAAGGGACAGATTGATTAAAAAAATGAGTAGTGTGTGTGAGGATGTTTTTGTAGCTTTAATTTAGTGAGTGATGTGGAATAAATATTTTGTTGAATGGTTTGTGATCAAATATTTAAAGTTTCTGAAAATTTGAATGAAGTTTATGGAAAAAGTATGTTAAATGTTAGTAATTATTTTTTACACAAATTAAAAAGTGCTTCCCGTATAGTCACAATCTAAACGCATTTGCAAATAAGTCTGTGCGACATTTCACTTATACTGTGCTTAGCTTGGCGGCATTTTCACATTTTTCAATAGTTTTCAAAAATTGGAAAAGTGCTCCAGCACAGTCTAAACGCACTTGGGTAAACATTTACCAGAGTGGCGCTTAGACTGTGAAGTTTGAGAATAAAAGTATGTTAAATGTTAGTAATCATTTTGAGTTTGCTGACAATGTGTTATTAATATCTTATTAGTAAATGGGGCGTCTATTAATCATGTGATTGATTTTTTAAGGATTTTTGAACCCCTTCTCCCTCTTGGTGATAAGTGTTAATATTCAACATTACCCCCCTTCCCCTTTACTCCACCAAATATGACGTGTATTTTTAGGTAAAATTTTTTTTTTTTTTTTTGAAAATGCTTGGATTGATTTTTAAAAAATCAGGTACACGTGATATCTTACTATTACCCTTCCACCCCCAACTAATATCTGGTAATTTTTTTTCAAAAATTTTAATTTGATTTTTATTTTAATTTTTTCATGAATAAAAGTATGTTAAATTCCAGGAATTATTATAAAGAATTTTCAAAGGGGGCGCCCATTAATCACGTGATCGATTTTTTAAGGATTTTTGGACTTCTTAGTGATAAGTAATGATATTCAAAACTAACCCCCCCCCTCCGCCTCCAAATATGACGTGTATTTTTAGGTAAAAGAAAAAATTGTAAATTTTTTTTTTTTTAAATGTTTGGATTTGTTTTAAAAATGAGGTAAAAAATAAATACACGTGATATCTCACTATAGCCCTCCCTCCCCCACTTAATATTTCGTGTTTTTTTTTCAAAATATTTGACGTTTCTGAAAATTTGTATGAAGTTTATGACTAAAAGTATGTTGAATGTTAGTAATTACTACACTGAATTTTTAAGGGGGCATCCATTAGTCACGTGATCAATTGTTTGTAAGGATTTTTGGACCCCCTTGGTGATAATTAGAAGTAATCAGAATTACCGCCCCCCCACTACCATCAAATATGACGAGTACAAGAAAAATTTGTGATTTTTAAATTTTTTTTTTTGAAAATATTTGGATTTTTTTTAAATATAAAGTAAAATATAAATACACGTGATATCTTACTATACCCCTCCCTCCTCCGCGTAATATTTCGTGATTTTTTGTCAACCCCCAATAGACGCCCCAAAGCTAAAAATTCTACAGTAGATTTTTATATAATTATTTCAGAGCTTGAGTGAATATTTTTAGAGCTTTAAATTAATTAATAAAATTGATAGGAAAATATAAGATTTAAAGTGAAAAGTATTTTAAAAGTTAAAAAATGTAAAAGCAGGTTTTTAAAACATCTAATAGAAAGATAAAAAAAAATTATATACTTATGAATAAAATATTTTAAAAATATCTTTTGTTTTTCGAACAAAAGTTACTTTAAAATTTAAAACTACTGTATTTATTTAATAAAGATATAATTAAAATAAAAACAAATAATAAAAAGTAATAGAACAAAAAAAAATAAAGATTCTTTTCGTCTTCTTCTTTTATTTTTTATTTTTCAATTTTTTATTCTATTACTTTTTAATACGAATTTTTTTCAATATAGTTAAAAAATATCATTAAATAAAAACACTAGTGACAATTTTGAAGGTGATTTTTGTTTAAATACTTTTCTAAAGGCAAAAGATATTTTTAAAATACTTTATTTATACAATGATGCTTTTGATGTTGATTTAAAGGACTATTGTTATATTATATATATATATATATATATATATATATATATAGACAAATATATATATACTAGATGACCCGACAGGCGTTGTCCTGTCTGATATTTACCAATTAGTTATTTGCACAAAAATGAAATTACATCACTGAGAGAGATGTCATCCCCCCGGGAAATAGCAAAGGAATCCAAATTATTTACACTTTTGAACTTGAGAGTAAGATAAACCTAATTCCAAAATTTCATACAAATTGGAGCACAGCAAAAAAAATTCAGATCCAAAACGCTCTATTGACTTGAGTAAATATTCCATATCCGATGGTAAAAATATGAAAATATGAAACGTTTTTAATGTCAAACAATGCCCCAAATATTTTCAAAATATCAAACAATGATAAGCGGTTTTTTGCAATTTTTTCCATGTATTTCTGCAATCTAACTATACTTCTATAAATCAAATAAAATTTCCTTAACAAACTTCTGAAAGTTTTATCAAAATCCGAATAATCGTTTAGGAAGATTATACTTTCATACCGCATTACAAAAGAATTTTTTATATAAGATATACAAAAACAGACAAAAATCTGCTAAAATACTGCTATTAATAAATAATATAAATATTTTTCATATTTATCAGAGTTAAGTTGTGATAAATATTATTAATATCAAATAATTCGTATATTTATATTTTAAGTAGAATACAATTAATTTTAATAATATTTAATATAAATAAATATTTATATTAAAATAGATAAAGTAGCCTCGTCCTTGCCTCTAATTTTTGTGAACGAGTTCTTATTAGTAATAAGAAATAATTTAATTATATCAACTATATAATAGTTAGTATAATATTAAGTTCCTTGAAATTTAAAATGACACTTTAAAACCTGTCTCAAACATAAATTTTAACTTGTCATTTTTAATTTTAATATCATCAAGTATTATAATATTTTAAGTATTTTAAATATTACAATTGGGCGATGGTTTGCCGGATGGTGCATTTGATAATTGTAAATATATTATGGGTCAATATGATAAACATAGAATATTCTTAATTTTTTAAATATTATAAAGATAAATAAATTAGTTTAAGTAGGAGAGATCAAATATTATTTAAGATATCGTATGTGCTAACCCAAAAAATTAGAAAATTAAAAGAATTAGAAAATTGAAAACGAAGTCTCAAAGTTTGAAAAAATTTTAAAGAGCCAGGAGTTATTTTTGTATATCCAAAAATATTTTTTTTTAACCTAAATAAGAAATATATGTTAAAATTTACTTAAAACAGAAAAAAGTATTTATTGTTTTATCTTGCAAAGTAATTTAAAATATTTTTTAAAAATTAAACAAAACTTTCAGAATAAAAAAAATGTTGCTCAAATTATTTCTTTTTAATGTGATTGTTTTTTTAATTAAGGTTTCTGAAATTTTAATAACCAATTTACAAAAATATAGTTTATAGTTAAAAATGGCTGCAAGAAACGCAAGAAATGATTTTTAAAAATGTATCTATAAAATTAGTTATACATGAAAATAATTTTGAGAATTTTGGAAAATATTTTTTTTTATTAGGTTGAAAACTATGTTCAAAGTTCGAAATTTAAGAGTGAGACTTATTATAAATTTATATATATATAAATGTTAAAATTCTTTGTAGAAAAATATATGTCTTATTTCTGGCAGACCAAAATTTATTTCTAACAAAATGAATATTTGTCTTCAAACTTCTTTAGATATGAAAAAGTTGTATGAAAATTATGTGAACGAATAGTTTTAATAACATTTGATTTAAAATATGTATAGTTATTTGATAAATATATTATATAAACATAAATATAATAATATGATATACGTAATTTATGATCTATAATTTATCACGCCAATATTTTTATTGTACGCATTTGTAATAAAAATGATTTATACAAAAAAATTGTTTGGATTTAAAATAATATTGTATGTGCTCAAAAACCCTCAAAAATGAGAAAATTTGAAGGAGTTAGCTATATGAAGTCACATTTAAAAATTTAGAGAAAATTTGAAGACATCTTTTATAGAAAGTTGCATTTAGAAATTAATTTAGAAAGAGTAGTAATTGATTTAGAATAGAAATTTTGTAATATTTTCTTCTATTATAAAAGAATTTCAAATAGTCTTATAATTTTGCAAACTTTATTTTTCGTTATTTTAGTTTCAAATTTAATTTTAGTTTAACTAAATGAAGACTAGAAAATATCCAAAAAGTTGAGATTTTAGAATAAATTTTTGAAGAATTTTAGACTATGATGAGACTACTTATTTTAGTTTCAAATTTAATTTTAGTCTAACTAAACGAAGACTAGAAAAATATCCAAGCGGTAGAGATTGTAGAATAAATTTTTAAAGAATTTTAGACTTTGATAAAACATGAATCAACATTTCTAAAACTCATTTATAAAAATTAATAAATTTTTCACTTGTGAAAATCAATGTATTTTTTTAATGTATATAAGTTCAAACAACGATGAGATTTTTTTCTCAATTTTTTTACAAACACAAAAAGTTTTCTCGAAATCGTAATGTAATTTTTGCCATTTTTATCGTTCATTAAATTTTAAAAAATTCCTTTGACAAACTCTAAAAAGAATCATCAAAATCCGATTAACCGTTCAGGAGAAGTATCAAATCATTACTGAAGAATTTTATAATATATATATATATATATACATATATATTTCTATTATTATTATTATTATTATTATTATTATTTTAATATTCGTAAACATGCGTCATGGCCATAACGTTATGTCGTCTTCTAATATTTCTGAGCAAATTTGCATCTAATTTTTCAAAATTATTTTTATCCTCATCTTTTTTCTGATTAAAATTAGTGCATTCGTTAAATAAATATATTGTATAGTAATAAACTAATTCGGCTACACTTATTATAGAACCTCCTATACAAAGACCGAGGATTCCTCCGAAAGCAGCTTGTAAGGAAAATTGATAAAAAATAATGAAAATTTTAATATATAATATTGAAATTGTCAACAATTGTAATTGATAGAATTACAGATGTATTTATAATAAATATAAAAAAATATGTTATTAATTACCAAAAAAATATGCCGCCGTTTGTACAAACCTTTCCACATTTTTGTTAATATTATAAATTTGTGCACTACATTTTTATAAAAATGCATTTTTTTGTTCCAAAAAAATTCTTTTTTATAAAAAATGTATTTTCAAATGTATTGCTATTAAATGTAGTTTTCATTTATTTTTTAAAATGTTTGTAAAAATTATAACTTACCAAATAAAGCATCCCAGGTCATAAGAGCGTCCCTGCGATATTTCAAAAAAGTGGTTTCTTTAAAACAAACAGTCACTTTGCTCGTATTACTCATATCTTCCAGGCTGAAATAATTTAAAAAAATATTAAAAAATATAAAATACAATAACCAATTAAATATATAATAAATTGTATAAATTTGATAAAACACTTAAGCTCAACTTAGACTTATTTTCAAACAAGATTTTGTTCCTAAAATAGTACTTGCTCATGGTAAGATGAAATAATTTATTAAGTATTTTAAGAATAACTAGTTGTGAGTATCATTTTGAATCTTACAGACTTGAAAAATTTTTAAATAGTTTTTCAAAAAGCCGTTTCAATTCAAGGTATTTTTCTTTAATTACAATATTTGTTACAATTGCTAAATAATTTAAGATCTAGTAACAATAATGAACAATAACATAAATTTAAATAAAAAAGAGTACGAAATAAAGAATAGTATTTTCATTAGAATGATATCCATAGTATGATGGTTTAATATAAAATAAAAGCAAATAATAATAATAATAAAATTAATAAATACAATAAATAAAATTTCTGAATAATAAAAATAATACTGGAAAAACGATAAAGTGGAATAAAAATAATAGGTGGCAGGCAATAATAAATATAGCAAAATAACAATATTATAAATAATAAGAAAATAAAAAAGGTAAAAATTTAAAGATAAAGAAATAAAAGCAATAAAGGTAATTTTTAAAGGTTTAAATTCAAGGTAAATGTTCTTCAAATTTAAATCACAATAAAATGACTTTTATAATAACTATTATTTGTGCATCTTTGTTATAATATTAAGGATAAAGAATTTGCTTCAGAAGCTTACGGCAAAATATTCTAGTAAATAACTAATACTTAAAATTAAGTAAATAAATGTTTGCTAATCGTAAGATATAATAAAATAGTTTGATTTACATAAATATTAAATTTATTTAAAAAAAAAACAATTACCCCGAATGTGCCCTAAGTAACTATAAGAATAACACTTATGTTTCTGTGAGTGTCCACAAAGTAGACCAAAAAAAATATTCTTTGATTTAAATAATTTATAATTAATACTTTATCGTTGTCATTTATCTCAATAAATATAAATTTTATAATAAACTAGCTGTAGCTGATACTAAATTAAAAATTTCAACAAAAATGCATATTTTTTACATCATGTCTACCAGTTTGCTAATCTACGAATTATCAATTAATTAAAAAATATATAATTACTATAGGACACTCATTGTTTGTCACATTTTTTATGTAATGACATAAAAATGATGTTATGATGTTAAATGTAATATTATATATATATATACATTTTTAATTCAATTCATGGATGTTTTTCTTGTACAATCTCGTATATCCGCCATTTTTATTTTAATGTTAAAAACTCTGTAAAATAAACTCTCTTGCCATGAAGATCGCGAAACAATCAACATTAAAATAAATTAGTATATTTGAAGGAAGTCTTTTATTTTTACTAAGAATAATAATTCTTACAAAATAGGGGTTTGTGACAGGAGGTCAAAAATTTTGGGTAATATGTGTTTTTTTATATACTCATTATAAAAAAAATAAAAGTTGACCGAAATAATAAAAAATCTCTAATCAAATTATCCAAAAACCTATCCAGGGATTTACCTAACAATTTCTGTTTTGTTTATGAAAGCATAACAATTATATATATATATATATATATATATATATATATATACATATATATATATATATATATATATATATATAAATTATCACATACTTAACATTTCCTTTAATAACATCTGTGGCCATGGCTGTGACTCTGCTCCAGCCTGCTGCAGGAGCTTCGGCTTTGTCCACACCCACAGAATAATATCTAAAAAATATTAATAATAATAATTAATATCTCTAAAATTTATTATATTTTAAAGAAAATTATTAATAGTTATTTTACCTGTCGGAGCAAGCCGGATAGCAATCGCACTGCATTCCTATATATTTTTCTGTTTCTAAACCCCAAAAGAAACGACTGACGTTTGCAGGTTGTAGACTGTTTAAAACGTCTAAAAAATGAGATAATAGATAAATCAAGTACTTCAATAAATATCTAAGAAAGTCATAAAATAAACTATATATTTCATGTGTATTCCTAAAAAAACGTAAACAAATTACTCCAATGTGAACAAATTTAATAGAAATAAAATTTAATATCGCCTCAATCTTTCCATAAAGACTGATACCCACTAAACCAGTTACGTAACATCACGTCATTTTAGTGTAACAAATATGTAATCTACATTACGTAATTCGATATTACGAAACAATTACATAAATATTACGTAATTTACCTGCAAAATATAGTACGTAAGAAAAATGAAGATTTTATTTCATATATCTTACATACATAACTTTTTTTGATAAAATTATTTTTTTGAAATCAAAAATATATTAAATTTTGTAAATATATATATATATATATATATATATATATATATATATTAAAATGACCAATGTCTCATTTTTATTATAAAAGTATATTTAATAGAACAAAAGTCTAACAGAATCAACTTACGTTTTATATACAATTTGTACTAAAATATTTAATTTTATTAGAATTTTCTATTAATTATAAGAATAATTGTAAAACTCGTAAACTTTTGGGTGTTATTACTGATAATTTTAGTAATAACAGACCAATGTTATGGCAAGGCCATGTTACCTTCCAACTTCCATACATTATGCTACTTCATCACACTGAATACTGTCAAAATGCCATTGCATTTGTTGTGCATTCAAGCGCTTTACACATAAACTGCAACGTCACTCGTATGTTATGAAGCTGAGTCAGAAAGACCCTGTTATCTTACATCGTTTTTTTGACATTTGTGCGGTTTTTAGGTTAGGTTTTCTATCTGACAACCTGAAAAAAACACCTGACTGCACAGCAACCACATGACTTTTGTCAATATTTAGTATGGAAAGTTCTTCATAACATAGCCTTGCCATAACATTGGTCTGTTATGCGGTAGAATTGGTCCCTTAGTTTGCTTAAATATCTAAATAAAACATATATAATAATCTGTCATTGTAATATTTTACTCACGAGCATATTTCGCCAAACAAGGTGAATCTTTCAGTGTGCAAACTTCGAAACTTGATCCATCTTTCATTTCTAGAAAACATAATTTTTTATATGTACATATATATATATATATAAATATATATATATGTATATATATATGTTATAATATTATATTACCTATATGAGGATATGTAAAAGGAACACATCCACAAAGTTCATTCATTTTGTACATTCGACATTCGGTTACACAATTTTCAAAATTGTAACCACTTGTTAGTTTTAAAGGATGCTGAAAAATAAATAATATTTTAATATCATCTATATTTTCATTTGATGTAAAAATATTATCTTGAATTGTTTACTTGCAGTCAAATAATAAAAATAAATAACAACAAATGATTAACTATTTACTATGTACGTGTCGACCTGTATGTGTGTCATCATTGAAAACATTAAATAAATTGTAAATAAGTAATTTTAAATGTTTAAAAAAATTACAAAATTACTAGAATATATAATAAATAAGAATATCACATATATACCAAACCAGAAAAAAACACAATACATAAAAATTAATATTTCTATACACGTCCTATAAACTTTAGATGCATTTTATCCAAACTAAAGATATTTACTTCAAAATTCTCAAAGTCCTATAGACTTTAGATGTCTTTATTATCTAAACTAAAAAAGCTTTACTTCAAAATTCCCAAAAAATATAAAAGCAGTACTCTTACTACTAATCTTCAACTTAATTAGAAGATACTGTTAACATCATCAGTAAGTGATGACAATGTTTTTTACTCTAAGTTTTTTTTTAAATGGTTCCAAATTTCTACCAAAATTTGCTCTAACACCATCGCTAAATTATTTTTTTTAAATGGTTCCAAATTTTTACCAAAATTTGCTCTAACACCATCGCTAAAATTTCTAGAACTCGATAGAAAGTTAGGCTTGCCAACGCACATCAAAAAATGAAAAGAAAACAATTGGAGAAGAAGTTCAAAGAGTTGTATTGGCTAATTGGCTCCTTTTATATAAAACAATAATTATCCCAATCTGGACATACGGCATTGAGCTATGGGCGTGCGCAAGCAATTCAAATATAAAAAAATACAAATAGCGCAATCGAAAATTTTGAGATGCATTGTGAATGCCCCTGGTATGTTACAAATGAAAAAATAGAAAAAAATGGCCATACGATCTTAAATAAAACGTCAAAAATAAAAAAGACAGATATCTCATAGGGGATAATCTCTTAAATGCATTAACACCAACAGCATATTGTCTTAAAAATGTATATTATTTTGATCGACAATAAAACTATGCAAACAAAGTATTTAATTTTACCTCATCATTAAAACTGCACTGTCGTTGTTTTGGTGGAAGTGACCTGACATTATTAGTACTTTCAACCACCATCGGTTCAACCTTAACAATGACGTCCTGGTTAGGCTGGACGATCACTGAATTTACTGACATTTCTGGGTAAACACCAGGATCGTGTATCATCACCTGAAAAAAAAATTATCATAAAATAGAATAAAATTATTTGTCATGAAATTAGAAAGCAAGAGAATTCTACAAGATGTCATTGAAAGAAAAAATAAAAGGACTAAAAGAAGTTGAGGATGAAAAAGAGTGCAGGTGATGGATGAGTACTTTGGTAAGAAGAAGAAAATGGAAGATTTTATTAGTATCAGTATTTTTCCAAAGAATAACAGCTGAATGTATGATTTAAAAAAAAAGAGTGCGCGTAAGATTCACATGCGATTGAAGTAAAACTTGTTTGCTACTGTACTAGATGGCATTCAACTAAAAATAAATACATCATTCAACAATTTTGAATAATGTTTATCAGTAATATAGTAACACTCGTACATTACACACATTTATTAGTGTCAACCATTATACACATAAAATATTTAACAACAATAATGTAATTAAAGTCATACTTCAAATATGACATGATCGGTTTGTCATTGTATTTAGCATTTAGAAATAAATCTTCATTAGAAAAATTAAGTAATTGCTGATTAATAAATTCTATAATATTCGTGCACACAGTGGATTATTAGAACTTCATGTACTTAAAATTAACATACATTCATTGACTGCTTGTATTTTTTTTACTTTTTCGCTGGCGATATAATCTCATTCTTTGAACAGCTGTAATATCTGTGCTGCCTAAAAATATTTTTCATTTTAATAACTTCAAAGATTTATAGAAACTACGAATAATATAGAAATAATTTCTAATCAATAAACTTGCGTTTAGTTCACGGAACAAATGTTTAATTTGTTTTATTATTTTCAAGGAGCAGAGTAAAATATACTTCTAATTGAGGCATTTTTCATTAAATCAAGATTAGTACTACAATGTAACTTTGAAATGCTTATTTATCTATGCCGATTTCCTTGTTGATATCGGTACGCATACAACGTTGATGCGGTTACGCATACAACAACAGATCTCTATTCACATACACGACTACTAATCACAGTCGACCGAGAGCGAATGACAAATCATTTGCACTCGACTCTTATCTTATCGACTCTTATCTGCCGTAACGCACTTCCGTTGCATTTGTACGGATTTACACTCTAGTCGCGCCTAAAAAAGTTTTACTTCAAAAATCATAAAACTTTTATTGATATAGCAACCGAACCGTAAAACTCAATTTATATATCAACTGCAAATCAGGGAATGATACAATAATTAACTATCACTTATACACTAAGCGTTTATTTATATTTTTGTGAAGTAAAACTTCTTTAGGCGCGACTAGAGAGTAAAGCTGCCATCGGAAATGCGTACCTATATCAACAAGGAAATTGGCATAGATGAATAAACATTTTAAGGTTACATCGTAGTACAAATCTTGATTTAATAAAAAATGCCTGAATCAGAAGAATAAATAATTAGAATGAAAATAATAAAACACATGAAACATTTGTGCCGTGTACGAAACGTAAGTCTATTGAAATAATTTCTATATTATTCGTAGTTTCTATAAATCTTTGAAGTTATTCAAATAGAAAATATTTTTATAGGTAAGACATATATTACAGCTGCTCAAAGAATGAAATTATATCGCTAGCAAAAAAGTAAAAAAAATACAAGCAGTCAATGAATGTATGTTAATTTTAATTGCATGAAGTTCTTCAAACACAATTACATAATTAGTGAAGTTGCGAAAACAATATTTGTTTAGGCGTTGTTTAACATAATCCACTGTGGGGTAAACTATTATTATAGAGTAATCAGCAATTACTTCATTTCTCTAATAAAGGTTCATTTCCCAATGCTAATTACAATGACAAACCGATCATGTCATATTTGAAGTATGACTTTAATTATATTACTGTTTTTAAATATTATACATATTTTTAATGCTATTATAAATATATAATTTATAAATAATTTATCATTATATAAATGTGTATAATGGTTGACACTATCATTATATAAATGGTTGAATTAATCATTATATAAATGTGTATAATGGTTGACACATTTAAATGTGTGCATCACTAGTGTTACCATATTACTAATAAACATTATTCAAAATTGTTATATGATGTATTTATTTTTAACTTAAATGGCATATTGTATAGTAGCAAATAAGTTTTACTTCAATCGCGTGTGAACCCTACGCACACTCTTTTTTTCTTTGGTAATTTGATTATACTTACAATTGTGGCAGCATATGGTTTTATTGGTGAAACATAATGTTCTGATTGTATGGACAAAAAAGCAACTAAAGACTGATCCACTCCAGAACCACTCACATGAACTTCTCGTTCCATTATTGGAGTTTCCCTGCATAAAATAAAATAATACTCATACTAAATAATGTATAAAACAAAATAATACATCATATATAAACTCTGAAGGTGAATCGTGATAAAAAAATAAAAACGACACCAATTCAAATAGATTTCCTTTCTTCATTAGATACATTCTGTTATTCAACTCCTAATCGGAGATTTTAACTGTTAGTATTTTTTTCTACTTACAAAAATAAATTTCGAGTAAGAGCATGATAGTTAAAAGCACAGCAAACTCCTTCCTTGGTTTTGATCAAGTTGAACATCAGACCGCAATCGTAACGTTTTCCTAACCAGGAGCAATCCTGGAGCAATTCTTCACAAGGCTGAGCTAACTGAAAAAAAAACAAAGATACAAAGCCAAATTAAAAATCAGTATTAGAACAAAAAATCTTATACATAAGAACAAAGAAAGCTTCAAGAATTTTATTTCAAATTTGTGATAGAGCAAAATAAATTATTATTAATTTAGATATTGTTTGTTCTATATAGTTCTTTTATTTTTCATATAAAAATATAGATCTATAATAGATAATTTTTTTTATTATATTTTACTATTTATCTATTATGTACCTTTGTCATAAGTGTGTCGATGTCATAACTATTGTTAAACAAAATCTCGAAAACATGTCGAAAACTTGGAGAAGATTTTCTCGGCATCACCAGCGATGACAAGTTGCTAAAAAAATGTTTTATCTCTTCTTTGGGAATGTTATTCATCAATCTGTAAAAATAAACAACAATTTTATTTTATTGTTGGATTAGTCATATTTTATATATCATTTCGAGTTTCGAGAACAAAATGTGTTATCATCATTAACTTTAAAAAATTGTTTTTTTTTTACTCACAGAATTTTTTCTATTTTTCCGACATTTGGTTTGTAGACTTTGTTTGTGTTGCACATTGTAACCGCTGGAAAAGCTACGTTGGAAATCGGATAATTCAAAGTTTCCACCTAAAAAATATAAATATACATATAAATTATTATAAAGAAGTTTTTTTGAAAAATTTAATGATAGTACATGAGCAATTAGTATTAGCATTAGATGAGGAATTAATTTCAAAAAGATCTTTAATCTTTACTTATCCATTTTTTCAAATATCAATACCAGTTACAACTGTTAAATAACATCTAGTAATATTAGTTAAGAATTATTGAAATATATTACAAAATAAAGGACAGTATTTCCATTATCTATTATTGCATAGTTATCCTGAATAGCCAATATTTCAATAAATTTATTTTTCTGAACAGAAAGTCATATTTTATATAAAAAGATTTTTATTTAATTCTAGCTGTACCAGATCACGCTGTTTTAAACCTATAAATAAAAATTCAAACAAAAATGCGATTTGTTACGTTAATAGTTATGAAGATGTTTTTTTGTGGTTGCATCGTTGAGAGAAACATCCCACTCAGCATCTCAATGTATAATATAAGCTTATAAACATATTAGTATTTTTTTAAATATCTTAAAAACTGTTAGAGATGATACACACGTAATAAAAATTTAAACTAGTTGGTATTGATATTTTGCCTTGAGGCAAGTTACATGAACTTCCCGATATGTGTCCATAATCGACTTAATCAATAATAAACAAATTAATTTATGAGTGATTAAAGTATGAAAACAAACGAACACGTTAACTGGGAATATTTTCTAAGAGCAAATTTTCAAAAATCAACAATTTTTATAATTGAACCAGTTTCCGTAGTTGTTTATTAAGAGCAAGTACTCTATCGTTATACCAAGTAAATCGTCTAATTTTAATTTGAACAAACGTCAAGAAAACTACTCATTTTCTCAAACTTTGATGAATTGTTAAAACTAAACTACTTGTCGTAAGGCCGTAATATTTCAGTAAGTTTTGTAAGACCATGATATACACCGCCAAAAAAAGTTTCATGAAAATCGGCTTAAATTTTTTTTTCAACAGTGAATTACAAGAAAACGGCTCGGTAGATTTTCACCTAAAACTAATCAGTATCATTCCCATTGGTTTAGTGTTGGGAAATTCCCAACTAATATCTTTCGAACGATTTTTGATTTTTCAAAATCGATTCGGTAGAAAGAGCTTAAATGTGGACGAAATGTTTAACACTTTTTTCCAAATGACACAGAAACGGCTTGGCAAATCGTCGCACAAAACTAACAAATGATAGTCCTCATCGAGATACATCAAATGGCTTCTAAATTTCTGAAATCGGTTCAGGCGTTTTTGAGAAAACGTCGATTAAAGGTCTAAGTTTGACAAATGCCAAAAAACGATACTAATTTTTGCAAACTTTGATGAATTTTTAAAGCTAAACGAGTTGTCGTAGGGCCGTAATATTTTAGTATGATCTAGAAGGCTACAGTATCTACCATCAAAAAAATAATGATAAAAATCGTCGAAAAAAAAATTTCAACACTTTATTACAAGAAAACGTCCCGGCCGATTTTTACCAAAAACTAATTAGCACGATTCCCAACCAATATCTTTCGAACGGTTTTTGAATTTTTATAATCGATTCAGAATTGCGGGCTAAAACGCGGACAATTTTTTTTTCACTTTTCTGCTATTTATAAAGAAACGTTTCGGCCGATCATCGCACAAAATTGACAAATGATAGTCCTCATCGAGATACATCGAATGGCTTTTGAATTTTTGAAATCGGCCCAGCCGTTTTTGAGAAAGCGTCGCTTTACGGCAAAAAATCTGTTCACATACACATACACACACACACACACACATACACATACTTTTTCCAAATTTGGTCTCATTCGATTCAGAACGGCTTGAAACGTCGAGAAAACATAAAATTAGCAAATCGGATTTTTTGATGAAAACATGAACTTCTCCTTCGGGAAGTTAAAAATGAGCTCTTCATAAGCTCAGAACATCTCAATCGAGCTTCATTCAAAAATGTTCACTGAACCGAAATGAAAAATGAAATGAAAAATTATGTAATTACTATTATGTTAACAAAATAAGGGTTTTTGGCAAGAGAGTGAAAATTTAGAGTTATATGTGTTTTTTATATCAGCATTATAAAAAAATAAAAATCAACCTAAAAAATAAAAAAAAACATCTGAGTTCCATCCAACCCCTACCACTTGGTTTCGATCAGAATATGCAAAAACCTGTCCAGAGATTTACCTAACAATTTCCCAAATTTTCACGACAATTGGATGCAATTGTTTATAAATACACTAGCAAACCCGACGAACTCCGTTTCGAATCAGATGGTTTCGTGAGGAAGATAAAGAATTTTTTTGTTTGTTTTATATTTGAAAAGAAAAAATTTGTTTTTATTACACAACAGTAATGAATTTATTTCGATTACAAAAATGAAGTGTTTTTTAGTTGAGCTTCTCTAAGTAAATGAAAGTGAATCCGCAAATTATCCGTTTCATTGAAGTGCTCTTTGGTAAACCACATTTTTTGTTTTTTGGTCTGACGTTAACACAAACAAAGCGGATGGTTTTCCAACTCGTGAACAGGCAACGTATAACTGCCCATGTGAAAAACAATGATTTCCTAAATAATCTATTTGAAATTTATCCCGCAAACACTAAGCGATTGGTCTTGCGACTTGTTATTGCGAACGCAAGGCAAACTGGAAATTGCAATCGTTTGAAGTCAAACGGAAGACCAGTCGGAATCATTGGTATGTCACCAATTCGCCATCAATTTTTGATTGAATGGTGAAATTCAGTGCGTGTACATCATTATTCTTTGCGGCAAGAATTGCTCGTTGACTTAACCAAGCATAATTCTGATAATTCTCATTAATGTCATTACTCGAATTTTTAATTACGGTGCGTGAAGTTCCAGCAATTTGCATTAGGGCACGATGCCATGCACCAATAATATTCTTAGCTATAGACCTTGCGGAGCCCGAGACCTTTCCAACGCAAAATTGTCGAAATCGGTTTGTGCGTTCTGGAGTTATTTCGTCAGGAAGGAAAACCCGACTTATTTATATATACAGAAGATAAGACAATAATCATCTATCTCAATTACAAATCTATCTATTATAATTTACCGAAATGAATGTCGGGCTATCAACGAATCTGGTCCAGACCAGCATCGACATGTAGACGCAGAGGGCGACGCTCATCGCGAATATCACGCCCCATATCGTCCGGGCGACCCGGTCGCGTTGTCCTCGCCTCCGCCTGGGTTCGCAAGAGACGAGACGCTTGAGGCCGTGCAGGTTGCTGGTGGCGCAGAAGTCGTGGGTAACCTGGAAATAGATTATAGAAATTAAATAGTGGGGTGCATGGCATTAAGGCAAATTGCTGGAAGTTCCCGTACCGTAATGAAATATTCGAGAAATTTTAAACGTTTTTAAATATATATTATTACAAATAGTGTAACTTTCATTATTTTTGCTATCTTGTTGTATCTGAGCAAATCAAATGTAAATCATAAATAAATCAATTTATCTGAAGAACATTAACAATGGTCATTTCATTTCATTTCGAATTCAATTTCAAAAAAATAGTTGCCTAATTTACACAAAATTGGAAGAAAATATATAATTTATTTCCATATAAAAACTATGTTCAAATTTACAAGTGTGGGAATTGTACTTATCGTGAAAATAAGAAAAACACAAAACTGCACCGAATAAATTTTATTAATAACGTTTTCAAGCCATATGACAAAAAGAATATTTTTTATTAATATTAGATTCTTGGGCTGGTCAAACGTACACAGTATCATCCTCATAATAGTAAATTTGAACATAGTTTGAAAATTTGGCTAAATTTGAAAATAAATTATATATTTTCTTCCGTATTATTGTTGTTATTAATACAAAATTATAATGTTTCAGGAATCACTTAACATTTATATGATCGTAAGTTTTATAAGTAATATCAAAATAAAATTTTACAGGTGTTACGGAGGACTTTATTATGGAATATTCAGCAAAAAATATAAAATTAATCGAAAACTCAAATAAATGATAATATATTTACACGTGAAATTATAAATATCAATAAAAATAAAAAAAATATTATATCTGAATTGGGAATTGAACCCCGGAGCAAAAATTAGAATTCCACGACGATAGCCACTCGGCCAATCTGCTATTGATAAGGAATAGCACTGCAAGCTATGCATTACGCGCGCTGCTAAAATGCAAACTTTAATTAATTTTTATAATTAAACCGCTTTTCATAGGCCTCTAATATTTTACCACGGTCAGTTTGGGCATCAAGTCTACCATTGTGCCAAGTTTCATCAAAATCCGAGACGAGCAACGCGCGGGTTCTCCTTATAAGGTATGCCAAAATGTTCAGAAGGCTTTGAAACGTAAATTTATATAAATATTTCGGAAGTTAAGAAAATCTAGAGATTGAATGAAGAACCTCATATAATAAAAATATGAGATTTTCTTTCTAAAAAATCATTTTTGACAAAAATTGGAAAAAAATTGATTTGTTTTTGAAAATTTTGATTAAATCGACTTTTTGAAAATATTGAAAACAATAACATTTTTATGAAATGTATGAAAAAAATCGATTTTCTTTAAATTTTTGAAAGCCATATGGAAAGTTAATAAACTAAATAATAGCAATATGATTTTTTTAACAAATATACAAGTTTTTAAATTGTATAGAATACTTATAATAATAATAGAAATGTTATTTATTTAATATTATTAATAAAATATTATTTAATAAAAAAACTAATAAGATATTAAATAATCTCAACTAAAATATTTAAATAATCAATAAACAAAATAAGAATTTTGTGGATGAAAAATATATGAATAAAATAAAATAAATAAATAAACAATAAAATGTAGAAATTAATATAAAAAAATATTTGGACAAAAAAACTAATATTCAAATGAAGTAATATTAACATCAACAATTATAAAGTTTTATTACCTTTATTAAACCACTGGATGATTTATCTGGAGAATTAAATATCTGAAATAAAGTAAACAGAAAAAATAACAAATATTACATTTAAAGTATTACAAACAATTCAAAAAGTCTTGTAAAAGTAAAAAAATCTTGATAAATTCTATATATGTTTTGTGATGATAAATTTACTATAATAGCCTGTAGAAATAAAATTTTTAATACTTTTGTAAAATCAATTAAATCATTAAAAAATGCATTGAAAACAATCAATATCTATATGTTTAGATAATATTACTCTGTTTACTAGAAACAGGAAAAAGCTAATTTATTGTAAATTTCAAAAAAATCACTCTAATTTTTTCTATTTTTATTTTACTGTAAAAATATTTGGTGTCTTCAGTTAGAATTTCAATTTATTCAATATAATTATTTAATTTTTAATTAATTTAATATAATTAATATTCAAAATTTACCTTTTTGGATCTTCTTGCCCTCTCAGTTTTTCCATAAGGGCTAACAGTCCATACAGATTTTTTCGATGCACTTTTCATTACTGAATATTTAAAATCATGCAACAATATTAACCTTCAGAAAGCCAGTTATCTGAAATCAGATTAATTAATTAATATAAAATATCTAAAAATAATTTAATACATGTGCAACATTTCATATGTAATTATTAAAGGCCTATTAGTGTTTACATGAAAAGTTATAATTATTTAATCAGGGATGTATGGAATCGGATTTTCTGGTCGAAATATAAACTTCTACTTCAGAAAATTAGTTAAAAAAATTTACGTAAAAATCACATGTGTCCTCACAAATGACATATTTCTATATATTCAAAATTTCATTATTTAAACTAATTTTCTCTAATTAATTTTTCAACTTATAATAGTCCTTTGTACTATTATCAATTAAAAAAGACATAATATGAAGAAATTTTGAATTACAAAAATTTGTCTGTCTGGAAAGGAATTTATAAATCACTTTTTTTGATGAAATCTTTTTTAGTATAATTTTATAATCTTTTTTATATATAATTTTAAAAGTCCTAGTACATCTACATTTTCTAGCTTTGCATGTTAAAAATAATGAACACAGTTAATATTTTATAATTATACTAAACTTCATTATATTATTCATAAACTGAAGAACTAGTTATTAGTTCATGACTTGAAACTTGGAGGAAAACATGAAATTAGCAAAACAGATTTCTGGCAAAAAAACATCATACTTACAAATTAACAATTTCAAAAAAACATGCTATACTTTGTTTATAAAAAATCTAACTTTCTATTTCCAAGTACAATGTTATTCTACTTTTTCCAAAAATTATCCTTAATTAATGGAATTCTGAAGAAACTTAAGTGCTTTTCTAATTATAATTTAGATTATGATTGGACAAGATATTTTAAGTAAACAGATAAGTAAAATTACACCTTTGGAAAAACATTTTACTAATTACTAACTGACAAGTTTGTTTTTCTTTAATTACATTTAATGGGGAAAATAAATATTACTCCAGGTGCATTAGGTAGGTAGGCGACTAATTTTATTTATTTTTGAATGATTTATTAATTATTAACTAAGGAGAAGTTTATGTTTTGCCAGAAAAACCGATTTACTAATTGTATGATAATAGTATTCTCGACGTTTCAAGTCATTCTGAACGTTTGGAAACAAATTTGGAAAATGTATGCATGTGTGTGGGAGCCATTTTTTAATCGTCGACTTTTTCCTAAAAACGGCTAGACCAATTTTAAATATTTAAAAGCCATATCTATAATTAATTAATTAAAATTTTTATCAAAATATCTAAACCTCAGTTTCCATTGATTAAGTCAATTATTACACATTTGGGGAAGTTCATGCAACTTGCCTTGGGGCAAAATGCCACTTTCACCTAGTTCCAAATTCGGTGTCAAACGATTCAAAATTCAGAATAACTTAAAATGTCGAGCACATAGGAAACTTTTGTTGGAAAAATTAATAAAATCAATAAAATTTTGAAACAAAAATTTGGAACAAATGCAACCAGTCACATTTTTTAAAATCTGTAAATTTTAGTTTTTTAAAAAATATTTTCATTCATTTTTAACTTCCCGTAGGGCAGTTAGAGTAATGGGCCGAAAATCAAAAATTGCAAATTTTTGCATTTCTCGACGTTTTGAAGGTTTCTGAACATTTTGGCATGCCTCAGAAAAATGGATGTGTGCGTATTGTATGTCCGCATTTTTTCGTCCACGTTTTCGGGCGCACGGATCAACCGATTTGAATGGCTTAAAAAATATTCGATCCCTATTGATAGTTCCTAAAACTGAGATTGATAGGAAGATGTGCTGATTAGTTTTTGGCAAAGGCAGGTCTAGCCGTTACGGATATAAAGAGCAAAGAGTGCAGAAATAAAAATCGAGTTTTTGAGAGAACGAAGTATCGGATTTGAATGAACTAAAAAACATTCAATTTGTAATAATTGGGAGAAGAGGTGATTATTTTTAGGCAAAGATAGGTCCCGCCATTTCGAGAGATACAAAGCTAAATGTGCATAAATGGCAGTTTTGAGTGAACTAAGCGTCCGATTTGAATGATCTAAAAAATTTCTGCTTGTATTGACAAAACAATTGCTTTTGAGGATAAAAAATTATTACATCTTTTTTTATTTTCCATAAAATATTTTGATAATTTTGAATTAAAAATCAAAAAATGACCCAGGCTAAGCACAGTCTAAGCGCCACTCTGGTACAAATGTTTACCCAAGTGCGTTTAGACTGTTTATGTACTGGAGTTCTTTTTCAATTTGGGGAAAACTATTGAAAAATGTGAAAATGCCGCCAGGCTAAGCACAGTATAAGTGAAAATGTCGCACAGAATTATTTGCAAATGCGTTTAGATGTGAGCACTTTTTCAATTTTGTGTATTTTTCTATTTTTTTTTTAAATTGAATTCTAAATGAAATGTCTATTGTTAATGTTCCGGAGATAGATATATCAAGATAGCAAAAATAGTGAAAGTAATATATTTGTATATTGTAATAATATATTTGAAAACGTTTGAAATTTCTCGAATATTTCATTACGGTACGGGAAGTTCCAGCAACTTGTCTTAAGGCACGATGCCATACACCACTAGTTTGGAAATATATTGCAACATATATTTCCAAGTGAAAACAGATGTCACAGAAACTTCTGAAACATGAAAAGCTCTCAAAAAAATTTAAAAAAAATATTCATACTCATATAAACAACTGTGATATATGGATAGATACATAGATAAGGAAAGTTAGTATAAATAAAATAAATAAAATTCTGAAAAATAATAAACCCAGAAATAAATAAAATAATTTATTTCTTCACAAACAAATAGATATATTTACAAGATATAGTACAAGATATATGACAAGACATACACAATATATACAGAATAGTGAAAAACAAGAATAAAATCAAATAAAATACAAACATCTTAAAAGTAGCATAAAAGTCTCTTTAGTACTAACTAATTCATAATAATATGTAAATTGGATTATTAAAAATCACAATTTAATTAAATTGTATGGTTTTCCAATATTTCTCGCTTCGATTTTGACTTGAAAAAAATATGTTTAAGACTAAAAACTTTATTTTATATATGAAATAAATTAAAATAATTACTTAAAAATTATAGGACATGTACAAAATTTGGAAAGAAAGTCTTATCAACGTGTAGTTCATAAAAACGTGCAAAGTTCACATAATAATATATATAAATTATATGCAAATTTATATATTATTATTATTGCTGTTATTATTAATTTCAGCAATCAGTTTATTAAATCGAGAAATATAGGACATTTTTAAAGCAATGTTCAACACAGCCTTTAATAATACTGATATGGTTCCGTATCCAAATCACAGCTGCTTATATACATATAAATATTTTATATAAATAAAATATTAATATTTTATACTATCGTTCTATATCGGAATCCTGGATGATGCCAAATGTTTTTTTGGGAGAAACGCTGATAATGTCGTTATTAATACTAGTTTCACGATAACCTATTCCGCCATAATAATCGCCTCTTTTGTGAAATTTTCTGAATTTATAGGAAAATTAGTTAATAGATCTAAAAAAAACCTAATATTATAATACTATTTGGTATTTGTATTTAGCCTTGAGGCAAGTTACATGAACTCCCGATACGTGTAATACTGTAATTAATCGACTTAATCAATAAAAAAATAAATTAATTATGAGGATTGATTCCGAGTGGATTTATTACACATAATTGAAACCGAACGAACTTGTTAAATCGGAGTATTTTTCAAAAGCAAATTTTCAAAAACCATAATTTATAATTGAAACCAGTTTCCGTAGAACTTAATGATTTAGTAAGTTCATTAAGACAAGTACTCTATCGTTATTACAAGTGAATCGTCTAATTTTAATTTTAACAAACGTCAAAAAAACTACTCTTTCCCTCAAACTTGATGAATTTTGAAAATTAAACTACTTGTCGTAAGGCGGTAATATTTCAGTAAGTTCTATAAGACCGTGATATATATCGCAAAAAAAAAGTTCCACAAAAATCGGCTTAAATTTGTTTTTCAACAGTTAATTACAAGAAAACGGCTCAGT